CCGCCGGGCGCCCCGCGACTCCGGATGCCCGTCCTGCGGGGAGAGGGATCCTCCCACCCGGCCCCGGCCCTCCGCCCCGGCGTGGGGCAGGTGCTGCTGGGCGGCTGGGCGCCCGCGGCCTGCCCGATGCCGGATGGAAAAGCCAGGCCCCAGGCAGGTAAGGTCCCGGAGAAGGACCGCCCATCAAGGCTGCTGAGTGGAGGTCAACGGAGCATGGGCGGGGCCAGGAGGCGGGGGGCCCAGGCCAGAGGCAGGGGGGCGGGGGAGGTCCACCTGGTCGCTGCATCCGAGCCTGGGAAATGCGCCCCAGGCGCAGAGCAGAAGATGTCTGCCCTGCCGGAGGCCAGAAATGGCCCCTGTGTTCCGCAGGAAGAGCTGGGTTCTCGGAGCACGGTGGAGCCTCCCACTGCCTGGGGTGCCACCGCCATCCTCTCTTCAGAGAGGTCTCTGAGGCACAGTGGTGACAGCTAGTGACGCATCCGGCCCTGTGGGGAACTTGCCTCCGGTGTGGTGTGGTCCCTGCAGTATCTTGGAAGCTGGAAATGCCCTCCTAGCCCAGGCCCAGGCCCAGGCCCAGAGGGGCTAGTTTCTCCTGGCTGTGGTTCGCAGCCTCCACCTGGGGAGCCCACGTCAGGGGGGACGAGGCCTCCTGCCACCAGCCACCGTGCTGGCATTTTGCAAGCAGACCCTCGGCCTGGTCAAGCCTCAGGAAGCGCTGGTCCAGCCACCAGCCAGACCACAGTGTCCTAAGCCAGCCCAGCTGCTCCCGCTGGTGATGCAGCAAGCCAATGCCATGAGGAATGACCCTGGCCCACTGTCACAGAAGGTCTGCTGTCTGGGGTTGAGCAACAGCTGAGGAGGACGATGCCCTTTGTCACCCAGGTCAGCTCACTCCACTTTCCATCAAATGGCAAGGCTTGGCCGGTAGCCCCCACCCAAGTCAAAAGCACAGGCAGGGGCAGGAAAGGGAACACAGTGGACGGGAAACACGGAGGGAGGCCGGGGCTAAGGACTGCCGGGCCCACGCTCACTGTGTAGGAACTGTTCATTTTGCTCTGTAAACTTTCACCCCAATCGCAATGGGGAAAAAAAGATAATACACCCACAGCGTCCGGCAAACAGTGTGGCTCACCCCTGCCGACCCACAGCCAACATCTTGTTGGGCGGCCGGCCCACTGCAGTTCAGGAAGTAGTCTGAATACACCCAGGCCGGGCCAACAGCCTCCACTCGTCCAAACAGCGGTCTGAAGACCAAACGCAAGAGCAGGTCCCTGAGCCCTGCCAGAGGCAGAAGCCCCAGGAACAAGTTTTGCAGACATCTGCAGGGGAAGCTGTGTGGAGCGCCGAGGGCGAGGGCAAAGCCGGTACCCTGGCAGGGAGTGCTCTTGGGCAGGGGCACGGATGCCAGTTCCTCATGAATGTGCCCATGAACTCAACTGAGGCTGCCTTGATGGGGCAGAGAAGCTGATCTTGAAGTTCACAGAGAGAAGCACTGACAATGATTAAGGATGGGCAGGAGGGATTAAGTAAATCCCAACACAGGGCATGCATCCTGCCCGAGATTAGAACACACTACAAAGCTACTCAAATGAAAACCAACTGTGTGGTCAGGGGTGTGAACAGGCAGCTAGGACAACAGGGTGATGCGAGGGTCTCAAAACAGTTTAGTGGGCGACACGAGGGAAGATGTGTCTGTGATAATAGTGGCGTGGCATCTTGAGCAACAAGGGCAGCAGGGGGCAGAGGGAGGGGAGGTGGGCAAAGGGAGGGGAATCCCTACCCAACCCCTTCAAAGAAAACAGGGTCATATGGATCCAAGGTTTAAACAGGAAATCACCACCATCGAGAAGACCTGGTGGCACAGTGGTTACGAGTTGCTCTGTGACCCACAAGGTCAGCAGTTTGATACCACCAGTCGCTCCAAGCAAGATGAGGCCTTCTGCGCTCCTGTAAAGAGTTACAGTCTCAGAACCCCCAAGGGGCAGTTCTACCCTGCTCTACGGGGTTGCTGTGAGTCAGCATCGCCTCGATGGCAGGGAGTTTGGTCTTGGGGTTTGTGTGTGTGTGTCTGTGTGTGAAGTAGTCTGGGGTAGGTAGGCCTCTCCATGAAACCCAGCCGGGGCTCAGTGAGCACCCTGGAAGAGCCCCACTCTCCTCCTCAAACGGCAGGGAGTCCAGCTACTAGACTTTCACAAGCACAGCTCTGCCTAGGAAAATAACCAAGTGATCATCTTACCGGCTCAGAAGAAACACCTTCAATAGGAACCAACCCAGACTGGCAGCAGGGTAGGAAGCCAAGAGCAGTTGGGGGGCAACCCTGCAGTCAGAGCACACCTCAAGATTCCATGACCTTAGGAAGCAGCTGCAGCCTGCAAGGCTGGGAAGGTGGCGCCCACCCAAATATCTGGATGCAGCCCCGATCTGCCAGCCAGCAGAACCCTGGACAGAGGTCACTGGAATCTAGGTGAGAGGACCGGGGCTGTTTTCCTCGTTTTGTCTGAAATTATGTGGAATGAAAAAAGGAGCAACAGAATCCCCCACCTGCCTTGCCCCCCCAGGCCTGCCCCTCCTTGAAGACCACAGA